GTCCATATTTTGATGTCATGATATGTAAATTAAAAATTGTTATTTTACGGTGATAATCTTGTTTTCTTGTGCCCAATAATGCATAATTTCATTTGATAAACACGTCTAGATTTAATGGTAATTTATAATCAGTCACAAGAACGTCGAACCTGAATCACTTGAAAAAAACACGGGGTGCTTAACTTTTTTCCAGGTGTATATTTATGTACATTCTTGAACTGAATGCACTTACTTCTTGGAAAACAGGAGGGAATATAGGCCCATCAATCTTGTACATTTTTAAAGATGATTTACTTGGAATGTGGAACACTAATTTAAAGTCTCTTATTAGTTTCCATGAGTTCTTGAATACTGTTCATTCATTCATAAAATTTACTTTGCCTATACCATACCAGGTAGAAATTTACCATTTTTAGATATTACAATTCATGTCAAAGATGGGGAATCATTTCTGGTATTTTTAACAAGTCATCCACTAAAGCCCTTTGTTTGAATTTCCACTCACATCATCCCCCTGCTGTAAAAAGAGGTGTCGTTATTGGCTACTTCCTTAGGATTGATAAATTTTGTAATAAAAAAAAAGAAATGAGGAGGCTAGAGAAAATTTGATGACTCTTCTAAGAAAAAATGTTTATCCACAGAAATTTATACAAAACATAATAATAAATTTTGATAGGCAAAAAGGAAACAAAACATGTTCCCTTGAACTGTAGAAATTAAGAAAGCACATTTAAAGCTCAGGTTACTTGGGTGATTCCATAGATAAATGATAATATCATAATACCGAAGAGATTAACTAGAAGATCAAACTTACCTGTTAAAATAGTACAAAAGTCAGGCATCTCCCTTAAATAATTAATAACATGTTCAGCATACAAGAAAAAAACACAATGTGTGAAACGTAACTGTAAAATCACTAAATATGGACTACATGATCAATGCCATAGTGTAAGAGGATGCCAAGTAGGTTGGTCATTTGGATTTTGACTTTATATCAAGTTACAAATAGATTTATTTAAATCCAGTTTTGCAGTCACAAGTGAAGTACACAAGTCACCAACTCAAAGAAGTTTACAATTAGAATAAAGAATTGCCTCAAAGAAATATAATACTTTAATGCAAATTATTAAGATACTGAAAGTATCTTGAAATGCTTCAGTACCAAATTTAGCAAACTCCTTGATCTGAGCAGTTAACTATTCCTTAATTAAACTTTCAACAATATTCATTAAATTCCTTACTAGAACCAATAAGTTAACAATTATAACATTATGTAAAATACATACTCAGACATACTTTTCTTTATGAGCTCTCCTTAATACTAAACATCTTACTTCAACTTCCTAACTATGTTATTCAACTGAGAGAGATAGCAATAATTAGTTACATTGAGCTTGAATGGGAAAAATTGGTAATATCTTGCAGTACAGACATTTTCAGATGTTCTGGGTTTGAGCACAGTTAGGTCAGGCAGCATATGGATCAGTAGTGACTTCTTTGGCAGCAGGTTCAGAGGCTTCTTGTCATCGGTCAGGAGACTGACTTTTTGGCCCAAAACATGACTTTTTAAACATAATTTCATGTATTGTTACAATGATTCAAATAGCTTTTCACAAGTAGTTCTTTTGTCCCATTAGTCAACTCCAATGTGGTTATCAATCGAAAGCCAAAACTATCTGTCAAGAGCTGTAATTTGGCCACCTATTTCCATGTATTTTTCCTCAGCTTCCTTCTGGCCAAAGTTCCACCAGTGGTTCCTGATTTCCTTTCTATTCATTTTTATGGAACTTATTTCCTACTGTTAATGAAGCTAACATAAATTTTCTTGCAGCTTTCACTCTGCTACTGGTGCATCTGTTCATGTAGATAAGACAAAACACTGGTTTATATTACAGCCTGTAATGCATTTTGGTTTATACTGGACATATACATTTCCTTTCTTGGTGAAGTGTCATTGTGTAACTTCTCTTATACATTCAATAATGTGCAAATCTTTTCTTCATAACGACATGTATATATGTCATACATGTAATTTCTTCAAATTATATTTTTCACTACTTGAAGCATATGAAAGTCTCATATACCACCTCAAATGCTTCAATAGTAAGAACATTGTTCATGAAGTAACTTGTGGCAGATGCTCTAGTACGTATATATATGAGAAACTTGTCGACCCGTACATGATCAAAAATCTGAACATGACATCCAAAACCTCAATACTAACAATGCTATTGCAAACATTATGGAAAAGAATATATGATACCACAAGCAGGTGACATCTTATCAGGTGTAAAATCTTATCTATAACAGTAATAACATGACAACTCATATTTACACTGTACAAACAATCTTCTAAGAAAAGCAAAATTTAAAGTGGTGAAAAAATATGTTATACAAATAAAACTTATATAATTTTGTAATACACTTAAACCAATCAGTAAGAGAGAAGATAACCAATCTCACTTTTACCCAATAAACTACATCTACTGTAGGTATATACAAATCATTACAACCACAAATGATTATGTTAACTGAACTTCTAACAGTGTTATGCCCAATAAACTACATGTACTGTGGCTACATACAAATCATCGTAATTACAAATGAGTATGTTAACTGAACTTGTAACAGTGTTATACCCAATAAACTACATGTACTGTAGCTATATACAAATCATTACAACTACAAATGATTATGTTAACTGAACTTCTAACAGTGTTATGCCTAATAAACTACATGTACTGCGGCTACATACAAATCATCGTAATTACAAATGATTATGTTAACTGAACTTGTAACAGTGTTATACCCAATAAACTATGTCTATTGTAGGTATATACAAATCATTGTAACTACAAATGATTATGTTAACTGAACTTGTAACAGTGTTATACTCAATAAACTATGTCTATTGTAGGTATATACAAATCATTGTAACTACAAATGATTATGTTAACTGAACTTGTAACAGTGTTATACTCAATAAACTACATGTACTGTAGCTATATACAAGTCATTGTAACTACAAATTATTATGTTAACTGAACTTCTAACAGTGTTATGCCCAATAAACTACATGTACTGTAGCTACATACAAATCATTGTAATTACAAATGATTATGTTAACTGAACTTGTAACAGTGTTATACCCAATAAACTATGTCTATTGTAGGTATATACAAATCATTGTAACTACAAATGAGTATGTTAACTGAACTTGCAACACAGTGTTATCAGCTCTCTAAATATGCTACTTTAATCTTTATTTACACTTACTACTCTCTCAGGATAATCTTGCACTTTCAACCTGTCATATACATATTTTTTATAGTTCACATCACTTCTCCGTTTCTCCAGTTCACCTTTTTGAATCCTACAAGTAGAAAAAAAAAGAGAGAGAGAACATTTTAAATAATCTAGAATTGACAAAAAATGTTTGCCTATACTATTACCCTGAGAAATTTTCACATGATGTATGATATAGTTCATTCCTTCTATCATTAAAATGTATAGGCCAGTCACCACCTGTTTTAACCTATTACCTTTATCTAACATCCACATGGTACTTATCCAGCCTTATAAAGTGACAATTTTTTCTACAATTTACCAATATGTAGGAGGATAGCAGGCAGTGTGAATTACATGAGTAATTAGCTCTTTGAATTTCAGTTTAGTTCTAATGTGCTAATTTTTCAAATACAAAACTTTGCTTCTGACATTACTCTGTGCTACAATCCCCAAACTGAAATAAAGATATGGTGGCAAAAATTATAGTAAAACAACCAATCACTCTCGTGGAAGAAACATCAGTAGCATACATTTACATTACAAATACAAAATTGCATGGAGATACTCAGAAGAACCATGTGGCTAGAGGAAAGTTCCTTGGGTTAGATTGCTGAGGTATAATAAAAGTGCAAGAGAAACGATATCTGATATAACAACCCAAACATCACTATTTGCTAGCTCCACAACAATAACCCAGCAGTTGAATAACAACACCTATACATAGAACTATGGAACACAGAAATGTGAAATGTAAACAGTGATATCCTCAGCCTACAATGGAAAATGGCCAAGATACATACTAGACCATAATTAAAAGCTGCTTCAAAAAGTAATGAAATGAGAAAAGAAACTGTATTCTGAAAATTATCCTCAAGATTATATTTGTAATGAAGACATATTTAACCACCTAGTTCTAAAAAAACTGGAACAGTGGTATCAGGTGCTAAGATTTTTTTTTTCCAGGAATATACTGTCACCCCAAATATAGATCCAAGATCTCAGAATGAAAGCTAAGTCTGATCCAATTAAAGAACTCAAAGACCACCCAAATGTATGAGGGGGACACTGTAGAGAAAACTTGGACATAATGAAGGTAAGCAAAGCTACAACCAAAGACATTACTAGGTGATTTAACTAATGTGATGACTTCCACAAACTTATAACTATGATAGCCTTTAAACATTAATTTTTAGTTTATGGCTATAAAAACCATAAGATCAGGAATGAGGAGTGTAGCACTTGAAAAACTGCTATATTTTACTTTTGAATAACTTAGGAAAAGATACAACATTAACCAGATATATTCAAGTAAATTAATTTAAATTTTCATGTAGGTTTTCATGCATTTAGCTAACATTCTTGTCAACAGGGTGTGAATAGTCCTAAACATACATTAATCCAAAGAATTATTATGTCAATGTATGTCAATTACAAATACTTGATTCAGCTTTTTAATGTTAATTTTAAAAATTTGGGCATAGGAATACCCCAAGAGGAGAAATGTGATAACTAATGAAAATCAACATAGTTCATTATTGAAGTGACTATAAATATATAAAAAATTAGAATAAATACATAACTCCTAGGTTACCAATTCATGATAAAATACAAAAAAAACACAGACACAAAAGATTATTCAAATTAATAAACCATCAATAATAGATAAACAATCCAAACAATAGTACAGAAGCAAGAATAATACTAAAAGTGATAGCAGTCTACATAAAACACTTTTGTCCAGGTATAAGTATGAAAGTGCTGTGCATCTCACATCAAATCTCATACAACAACAAAACATAAACATGATTTCTTTTCATCATGCTTTGCCAACTTATAAAAAGCATTCACACCATAACAACTGTTATTGTACCAAACAGCTTATACAGGGTGTCTACATTGAAATGAAAAAAACTTTGAAGCCTTATAACTTTTACTGAATAAATCGGAGAATGTTGAAACTTGTACAATTACCACACCATATATCCAAGTTTCTGTGCTTAAAGTTCCTTTTGTGTTTCAGATTGAATTATGATGACTCCACAAGAAAAGGCGAAATGTGTGTTGTGGATGGCTGACTTGAAGTTACCTACCCTGGTGCAACAACAATTCTGAACAACATTTGGCAAAGAACCACCAACCTGAAGAGACCCGTATGCATGGATAAAGATATTTCAGGAAACTGGCAGTGTTCTAAAACAGCATGGTGGAGGAAAGCCCAGAACATCGGAGGAGGATGTTGAACACATACATGCTACCTTCCACAGAAGTCAAAGGAAGTCCTTCCACTGTGCCAGAATGAGCTGCAATTTCCACATTCAACTGTTGTGTGTACATGGCTGCAGCTCTATCCATATAAGCTTCAACTGGTTCAGCAGTGAAGAGTGAATGATCATATCAAAAAGAGAAATTATGCTATGCACATGCTCTTCAGTCTGTACAACAACCATGAGTACCTGAACTTGGTCGTGTACTCTGACTAAGCAACATTTCAGATATGTGGGCATGTTAATAAACACAATTGCCGCATCTGGGAGAGTACAATCCATATGTCACCCATGAGGTTGAAAGAGACAGTCCAAAAGTTAACTTTTGGTGTAGTCTTATGTGTAACAGGATTGTTGGTCCATTTTTCTTTGCAGAAAAATGTATGACAGGCCATGTGTAGTTATACATACTTCAGCTGTTCTTGGCACTGCAGGTAGAGAACTGCCTATCAAACTTCATATTCCAGCAGGATGGGGCTCCACTTCACTGGTCCCGTGATGTCCACTCCTACCTTGATGCCTGGGTACCAGACTGCTGACTGGTAGAGATGGAACCATTTCCTGGCCACCGAGATCGCCTGATCTTATCCCACTTGATTTTTTTCTGTGGAGTTATGTGAAGTGCAATGTGTACTCCAAAAGATGCTGGACATTGTTCAGCTGAAAGAGCACATTAGAGCGGTGGTGGCCTCTGTAACCCCAGAGAAGTTAGAAAATGTGTGGAGGGAAATTGAGTACCATTGTGACTTAGTCCATGCTAAGAATGATGCACGTTGAATGTCTACTCTAACGTACCCTAATGTACCTAAATGATATGTACCATATACCAAATGAAACTTAAGTATACTGACTATGAGCTGTGTGAATATTCCTCTGTTTGCATTATTCAATAAAAATATACAAGGCTTCAAAGTTGTTTCATTTCAATGTGGACACCCTGTATAAACAGTGTTCTGACCACTACTGTGTTTGTTGTATCCCAGCCAGCCTGAAGAGCTCTGAATTCAGTAAAACACATCATCGGCAATGGATGTGGCAAATATAGTGTGGTTGGAATACTATTATTATACATTCTTCTAATTCCAGGAAATCCCTAAAGGACTAGATAAAGAATGTAATGTTTAAAAATATAATAGGCCTAGTACTAATGTCTTATGACATGTATAATTATAATCATGCTTTGCCAGCATGTAAAAGGCATTCACAAACAATTTAAGCTTAAATAGTCTAATAGATAAATGTACCACTAAATTTTCTATTAACCAATTCTTATACTTTTAATTACCAACATCAGTAACACAGCTGTGATATAAAACATTTCTAATTACATGCAAGAGGTAATGATAACATTGTTTACATCAGAATTATGATTCTGTTTTAAATTATCACTAATTATTACATCTAAGCAATGACATGCTTTCCCAGATACACAAAGTGGATATAGGTTTAAATTGACGTTAGTGATAAAGTAGTTGTACAGTTATCTCAACTGAAACAAGACGAAAAAAAATTAACAATTTGGTGGGTTGGCCACTTTCTGGCTTGGTATCTTAGCAATGGCTTCTTGCTTTGATTTTGGGCTTGTTGGGTAGAGAAACAAAAACAAGTGAGTGGCAATATTCTTTTAAAGTAAAACTCTCAGTTATTGATGATTTTTAGTGTTCATATTTGTATTATGCCTATTCAGTACCTTGGCCATCCGTACATATAGTCTACCAACTCTATGATACAAGTGCAAGAAAATTGTTATGATACGACTTTGTACAAAATTTACAATACAGTGATTGCAATGGAATTGTCTAAAGTAATAAAAGTGTGAGAAGAAGCTTATGATATGTCTCTGTACAAAGTCTAGGCTGACTGAAGGTATTGGATGTTAGTTATCCTTCCAGGGTAGTCATAATTTAAAGATATAGGTGTACAGTGTTTAAGTATATATATATATATATATATATATATAT